ACCCTTGCTTGCAAAAAGTGCAATTAGATTTTTTTAAACCCTTTTAAAAGTGTATGTGCGTAAAACGCGTTTGCAAATTATATTATATGTATATCACAAAGAATCGTATGAAATAATATGGGAAGAAGCACTTTGTAACATACATCTTTGAAGTTATCTGCTAGAAGTTATCCTGTCTTTAGAAATTTGTAAACATACAATAGAAAAAAATATCAGATTGCACAAGTCCTCATAATTCCAAGGTCGTCTAGAATCTTTTTCACTGGGTTTATTTTTAACTGATCGAAGTCGTTCGACGCATGGTTGGTACTGCGACACGGAAATAATGTATTGACACAGAATAAAAATAATAATTTTATCAAGTACATTTATACTTTTTATTCTGTTGCTCGTGTTGATAAGTAAGAAGTAATGTTTACGTAAAATTTGTAAAAAACATAAAACTTTTCTGTCGTTTATATTATCGACAGAGGTCAAGTTGCAATTCGAATAAATTACTTGATGGCGCTAGTGTAGCGAACATCACGCCGCCATGATTATTATTCGCTTGGTGTTCATGATTGGCGGCAGTCGGCACTTGCCAGTGGACGCGAACGGTAGTTTGTTCGTAACGTAGTTAAGTTGAAACTGCACATGAAAATGGCGTAGTAAGGTGGTATAATGCTATAATTCTCATCGTATAGATGTACCGTGAGAAGTCTTGAACAGTGAACGGGCATTAGCCACTGGACTTTCCGAGCATTTGTAACGATACCGTCCAATTAAGAGCATTGTGATTAATTGCATGGATTACTCCTATTAGTAGCGTGAAAAGTGTGTTATGTGTTGGTGACTCGTACTGTGATTAGACAACGGATGTGTTTGAGTTCCTTGTAACGTTTCATTGTTCGAACGGGGTACACTGGCTTCGTTCAACAAACGTTATTCGATCTTTATGCTCGAAACTCAAGGATGGCAGTCGTACTTGGGAGAAATCGAAAATTTTTCCTCGTGACAGCTTGACGACCTCGACTCCAGACGAGTTCAAGATGGCGCCACCGGCATTTTGACACTTGCCCAAGATCCGTCAGCTGGATTTTACAACCGCTCCGAGCTTCGACTATTATGAGCAGAGAATTTTACGTTCCTTGTACACCTTACACTTATCAGGTGAGTTAATCGTTACCTGTCAATCTTTACGTTAATCGCATACTAGCACGTATGCGTTCAGTGTTCACTGTACCCTGCATCGCCATGTTTTCGCGACCAGAACTCGAAATTGTCAATTTCTTCCGGTAACCTTTAAATATTTTGACTTCTTTCCTTTATACATAAAATTCTATTCTGTTAAATGTACCCGGGGTATATATTTCAAGAGTGCTCAACGCGTTTTCACTAAGTCAGTTATTAAGATTGTGTGTGTTTTAATATAAATAAGACTAAGTGTAACCTCTTGAAAGTGCTGTAAATATTCGTTTGATGAGAAGTGTCATAATTTGTGAAATTTTAACTCAACAGTATTACACAATGTACTATTCGCGTATAATACACACGACATGATCTGTCACAATTTTTTCATGGTTTACGCGTTTCGAAGTGTATCAAAGTGTATCAAACGTAACCAACCAACTTTTTTTTAACTGTTATTCCAATGTTGAACTCTTAATATGAATGAAAAAGAACAATGAATGTGGTGTCGAAGAAAAAGCGACGGTCGATAAAAGTCGATGGGTAACGTTAAATCGTACGATGTGAAAATTGACAAGTAACCTAAGGCCTACGCCTATTTTTCGCGCATCGTACACATTTCGTGGATTTCTCGAGTTTCACTATGAGTGATGGTTCTTCGTCGAGAAGCATATCTGAAAATAATGTTTCCGCTTCGAACGACGCGGAAGAATTAGGTTCACAAAGTTCCGCTGATAAGCGCCTTAGGCGTCTGAAACTGTCTATCACGAGTAACATAACCAGGAAGGTAAGACTTCGGACTTACATAGTTTGATGCTTCGTACCTAAAACGGATTATCATACATTTTTTTTTTTTTTTTTTGCTAGTAAAAGTTTTGTAATCGATGTTCTATTTAAATTCATAATTTTCGTTAGGCACGAATCTTGATGATTTCGCTGACTCTTCTTTTATTTATACATTTTTATTCTTTGCGAAATTTCTAAGTCTATTTTATGTGTGCAATATTTTCATTATATAATTACGTAAACGGAACATTGCAATATTTCTAAATTTGTTGTTCTTTACGAAATATATTTTAACTAATGAAAATATTCAACGAGTGCATTTTAAGAAATAAAATTCCACAATTCTAATTTTTTGAATACTTTTTAGTGTGATTTTTTAAATTGTAAAATTTCTCAAGTTTTCTCTCACACTTTTTCTTCAAATCAATCGTTATCGTTATCAGCATGATGGAACATTGTTGTATAATAATTGATCGGTGGTTTAATTCTTAACGAACCCAGGTTTTTGCATTCGAGAAAACTAAATTTCCATGAAAAGAAGTATTAACTCGATGAAATTAACTTTCTTTCAAATTCAACTTTCATTGATAATTTTTTTGCTACTTATAATTTTGGAACTATGTAGGTGATGAGATTACTGAATTGTTACACATCGACAATATTATTAAGCATGGATTATTTCTTTATCTTCAATAATTCCATTACTTCGTTTTGAATTGTTCGTTCTTGAATTTTTTAAAAATCATTTTGCATAATACAATATTATCAAATCGAACTCCGAGGTAGATTTATTGAAAAGGAAAAGGCTATTAAGTCGTATTAAACTATAACGTAAGGTAACTTTATTTACGACAGTTTTACCTAATTTTTATGGAACAATGTTCTATGTTTGCACTAACAGTTAGTTTCGTGTTTTTAATTAGAACTATAGTGTGAGATTTTATTTTTTTTTACAATTTTTTTAAAAAATTATATCAGAAAGTGAAACACATAAAATGTATAAAAATTGTATGAGAAAATGAAAAATATAAAATATGTTAGCACTGAAAATAACAAATTCAGAAATATGGCGATGTTGATGCAGTATAACTATAAACACTCGCCTAATAAAAAGTTTGTAAATAGATTGTTGTGACGCACGATGTTGTTAGTACAGTCTCGTATTGAAACTCTTTATTAAATTCCGTTTCTATGCCTTTTAATTCGTACTGCTTTCGTGTAAACGAAATATTTTCAACGTGTATATTTATTTAACAATTGCAATGTTACACGTGTCGCGACATTTCGTCTGTTTCGAACGAAACCTCGTTTAGCGATCATAACGAACAGATCAGATCGAAGTTACCAAAAATCGGTCATTACCTGAAACGTTTGATGAGGTCGACGAGTGGAGAAGAGATCAGCACCGAGAGTGGCACCGCTCAAGTGGCTGAAATCACGGAAAGCATGTTAAATTGCGCGATAGTAGAAATTTCGAACGGTAAATTTTCACATTTACAAATTTAAATGCAATACAATCCCTGTTTCTCTATGCGGATGTAATATCTTTCGTTCAAAATCATTTAAAAGTCGACACACAGTACGTGGTTCAATTTTTCTCTTTATTCGCTGTGATATTAAAAATAAAAATACGTCATCTCGATTAAAAAAAAAAAAAAAAATTTGGGCGACCCTAAAATTTTGGAAAATATAGGCTTCAAAAGATATTTCTTCATCTTACTAAAACTTTCTAATTTCATTCGACCCCTTCTGTACACTATTCCGTCATTTCTATGTATCATTCGTAATTAGAGAAGATAAGTAGGGGACCTGTTTTACGTTGCTCACCCGGTACATCAAATTGTATCGAACGAGTTACAAAATTATAAACTGTGTTGTTTGGTGTAATTCTATAATTGACCCTTTGCACTCGGTGGTAATTTTGCTATAGGAAAGGTTGCAAGTCGGATCTTTGAAATTTTTTCAAACTAACGTAGAAATAGGCTTTGTTATTTTATTGAAATATTCAACGCATTCTCTGTTTCACTATGGTGGACAAATTTATAGAGGCCCATAGATCTGCTCTCTGTCTTAATTAATTATTTACCAACTGAGAATTATTTAACGTCGCTTCTCAGTCGCCACTCGATTGCAAAGGGTTAAAAGATTTATTTAACAATCTTATTGTTCAAGAATTCAGTAACTCCAAGTAAAACGTAGTTCATTTGTTCGTACGAAATTATTAACCAGACATATTTCGTTAGTGTCCGAGCGTAATGAACAGACTATACCGGAAGACGAGGATTCGGTCGACTGGTTCGACAGCCATGTGGTCACAACGAGGTGGTACGAAACACATAGTGAACCCACGAATCATTTCACGGGGCTAGATTCTGAAGGACCTTCGACCTCAGCCACGAACGGCAATACAAGTACCTTCAATCGTTGATTATGGCCCTGGGGTGGAGTAAATCCTCTCATGCGGGCGTATTGATTTTTCTATTGAAATATTTCTGCCTAATGATTCATACTTTACTCGCCCTCTGCTATTCCCAAACATACGTTCCTTCTTTTTTATCCGATTCTCGTGAAATTTCGACTCTCTGGGTTTTTGAACGAAACATGTAAGTAGCGCTTTCGGAAGAATGAATTATTAAATTATTCTGGTCGCACCGTGGAGTATTTTTATGAGAAAGTTGGACGAAATAATTTTAGCGGAGTCAGATGTACTTAGAAACGATGAAACGTAATTTGTCGATTAGAATTTTATGTGAAAGCTCACAGGAGAATGAAAAAATTCGGAAATAAGACGATTTGTATACGTGATTTTTCTTTTTTTTTTTTATTGTGAAATTTTAATATTGAAACTCTATTTGAAAATTGCACGTGTGAAGTAAGGAGGACGAGAATTTGTCGTCAATTTTTAAATAACTTTTACTTAGTATTATAGGAATGTTAGGTTGCAAACTGATTTTTCTCACAGAAAATTAAAAGCAACAGCGATTATACTTTAATAATAACAGAAACAGAATAAACAAAATTCCTTTTTATACGATATTCTTCTTCTGCCTAAATTCTAGCGTCGCAAAAATAGCCTCGCTGCACTTCATTTTATTAACATTATGAAAAAGAAACACTTTGTTTTGGTTTTGAATTAAATTTGAAAATTTGAATTTTCGCCAGCTTTTTAAACCAAATATTCCACTGTGCGTTGTTTGACGTTAATAATGAAATTGACTGGATAAATTTCAGTCGAATAATTCCTGAAATTATGAAACACAAAACGTAACACTTATTTACGTTTCCTTCCTGTTAATTTAAATACAGTTGTTAACAATGAAATTTAGTTTTTTAATCAGATAGTTATATCTGATTTCGTTTCAAGGATGAAATACAGTAAGATTTGCCTGAAACAGTTTATCTGAGATTATTTTCCTTTCTTACATACGGCTCGGAAATCCAGTAACGTAATATTCATCGATTAGTACGTCACGAAATTTAGTCGGGCTTCCTTTCAGGCGAATATCAGACGAACGCTATGATAGCTCAGACTGAACCTGTTCCAATGATTTCAAATTCTGTGAACACTGCCGAAGCAACGACCACAAATGGGATTTTTGTGAATATACTGAATCGCGACACCAGCATAGCAGAAAATATATTGGAATTTACAGAAGCTTTGTCTACGCAATTAGGGTAACATTAATCCTAATATTCACGTCTAGACAGTATCATTCATATTTTTAAACATAGTTCCTTTTATTGTTCAATTAAAAATTTCCTTTTTCCAAAGTCTAAGGCGAAGTTGTAATTACAAAACTCTTTTGGTGTCACACGTTGAACAAGTTTGAATTCTTTATTTTTAATAATATCAATCCGTAATGGACTAAATTTTTATTCCGCACGGTTTGTTAGTTACATATTTCTAAACATTCTTCGATTTGGAATTGTATAAAATTTAATATCGCCACTGATATTATATATCGAGAAGACAGAACTCGATACTTGAAATCAATTTCATTGGTAATTCTGTAAGAACTGAATCTGACTAAAATAGAGCTTCAACAGCTTATCGTTTATTTCTTTATAACAGAGTAATAGTTTAGATTTTCAAGTGTCCTGTCTCAATGGACCGTAATCGATCCCAGAAAGACTATAATAATTCCGCTCTTTAGAACGCGACCGGAAAGACTTAGAGATCAAGAGTCTCGAACTAT